TGCCTTAATTTACTGTGTTTTCAACACAATCTCATGGCAATTTTATGTTTTGGCGAATTGGTGGCTGACTCGTATGAATTTGTACAATATCTTTTTCATAGAATTCACACCATACAAATTCATACGAAATCACCACCTCGAAAAATCGTTACATTTTCCTGTGAGATCGGGTTGCCCAGTACACAAAGAATAGCTGACTCTAAACAATCAAGTCAAAGAAAGATTTAATAAAAAGATTGAATAAAATGTAAAAATTGAGCATTTTAGCTTTAGCAGTTATAAAGTCCATTATATGATCAGTCAGTGTGAGGTGTAGAGATTCAGATGTCTGTGAGTGACTTAAGTCTGAAGTGATGTATGACGTGACCTCTGATATACAACGGCCTGCTGACCAGTCAGCGCTTGATGAAAAAGGACGTGATCACAGGTCCTGCACATGCCAGGGATGACTGTGCTATCGCAACAAGCTGCAAACTGATACTACGCACAATGATGTAATGCTGAGAAAATGTTCCAGTAGCCTGATAAAACTGCAGTCAGGAACAATACAAATGAGAGCTGTTCTAGAGAAAAGATCACACTGATAATAAAAACAACAAAGTATGGGTAAAAAGAAGGCTGATCCTAATCCACTGATTTATGTTATTTCATTTACATCATCAATTCACCAGAGAACATGATACTATGACACAGAATAAACTTCACAAGCTTCACACTTCATTAATCTACCATTACCTGGTTAAACTATTACAAAAACTAAAAGTCAAACAAATAGTCATACGCTACAAAAATGTCTACAATTAAACAAGCTCACAGTAGAGGGAATGGATAGACACTACCTCTGCTGACCCATCTCAACACTACCTCTGCTGACCCATCTCAACACCCAATCCATTATCACAGCGAATACCAGCTAAACATTCCTGACACGGAAAGTGAGAGGTTATAAAAAGCATTGCTGTTGAGTAAACACATGTATAATCATATATCTGTGGGTCGATACAGCAGTCACTGCTACTGGATTGCCATTTGCCCTATGGCAGCACTAGTTGTAGATGGAGATGGTAAATGGACTGTACAAGAAAAATAATAATAAAAAAAGAATGCTCTGAACCCCATTAACCAAAACCATTGTTAGTGTTATGCAAACCACCTTTAAATGGCCTGTCTCCCAAAAGCATCATAGCTTAAGTAGCACTTAAAATCATCATAGATCTACAAGTACTGTTCGGTTGCTAAGTGCCTCAAAATTACACTTACTGTAAAATAATGCATTTGTCTATTTAAGGTTGTGATGCTTATCGTTTATGCAAAGTACAATAAGGACATGTTTATTTATATTTAGTTTAAACTTGCATATTTTATTTTAAAATAAAATAAAATCTTTTACATTACATTTCTTTTAAATAGTTATCTGCTAGATGAGAATGTTTTTAGATTTTAAACAAAAATCTATGTAAAGCTATATGGTTCATGTACTGTAAAATGCATTCATAACCATGGTTATTATAGTTAAATAAAATTAAAACCATAAAAAATGTATTATTTGAAATAAAACAAACTTTAACTTTAAAATATTTAAAAACTTAAACTTATTTTATTTCAGCTAGTTGCCAATGCATCATTTGTCATGTTCATGCAGTTTAGCTTGATGTATTGAAGTAAATAAAACCTTAAAAATAAATTGACCAAAAAAACTCAACAAAATTACAAATATTTGAACTAAAATTAAAATGAAAACAAAATATAAAAAAGAAATCAAAATATTAATAAAAATGATAATAGTATCACAGTGATACTGAAATAACTGTTTATAACCTCTCACTTAGAGAAAGCTATTAAGAGAGTCCGAGATGCATTGGGACACAGGGCTCTGATCGGTGCATTTCCCATGTGTCCAATGAATATTCTTCTCAGTCATACAGATACTGTGGGCCTACGTAGAGGATAATCTGCACTTTATCCAGCACTATTCTAGGGATCTCTACCCAGTAACATCAGACAAACGTACACAGGCACCTTGGCTTCAGGCATGCAGATCTCATCACACAAACACTCAGCGATGGGTTCACAGGGATGCTTTCTTTAGCACTTCACGCCTTTTTGACACTGTGAAATTACATGCATGTGTCTGTCTAGTTTCAGAAGTCCTTACCTTATGTAAAGAATTCAGATTATTTTTCTACGGCACACGCTGATTCAAGGCAGTTTTATAGACAGCACACACTGAGTTCATAAATTTTGATAATGAGCCATAAAGTCTGCCTTAAATATGAATGATGAGGAATTAATTTTCAGAGAGAGGTTCATATGTCTCAGGAGTTTCTCTTGATGTTTTTTTCTTTTTCTTTTTGTCCTTAAATCTGATGATGCAGTGATTGGAAGCTTCATATCAGAAAGATAACTAGCAGTAAATTGAATCACATTCATATGCAAGTTAATCAGGTTAAACTATTGAAAACCTTTAAATTATTTGATTGATTTCATAATTATGAAACTGATCACTGCTGTACACTCACATCTCTCAGTCAGTGTGAGGTCAATGGTGTGACTGCATTACCTGGCGTGCCCTTTCCCCGCTAGTTAATCTCCCACAAGAACAGTATTTAAATGAACGTGTAATACTGATATCCACAGATAAAGGGAGAGAGAGGGATAGAAATCCATCTAGCCTCTCACTTAACCATCATTACATCATCCTATACACACAATATCACACAGATCTTGTTCTCAAGAGATTAAAGCCATTCCATTCCATTCTCTCTGCTGTGCTTTAGCACATTAGCATCCTGTCCCCGGGCCATAGTCAGCTCATCAGATTTGACTATAGGGACATCCCCACTTAAAAAAGAAATTGCATCTGATTACTACAGTGAGTTCATTCTAGTATAATCAAACGTTACATATTAAAAAAAAACATTTATATATTTAGAATAAACAAAAGCAAAACATGCAGAATTATTATTATTATATAAAATTATATTGTTACAATATTACATTATATTAAAAAATAAATGCAGTATAATTACATAATTTAAATGTTTATTCATTGTAATAAGTTTTTTTATATTATTGTTTTTATTAGTATTAATAGTAACAGTAACAGTAGTAAATTATAATTTATTAAGATATATTTTA